GTACTAATGTTCTTACCTCTCTGCTCACTTTTATCTTTTTATGTATCTAAAGAGAAAAGTTTATGTAGGCTATATTTACTCCAAGGGAACCCCTCTTACATCATACCAAGACTGTGACCTGAGTAAGGGTATTATATCCCACCCAGATCCCCTTAGAAATGATTGGCTGATCACATCACATCACATCACGTCACATCACATCACATCACAATCACAATCACATAATTACATCACTATGTAATTGCCAAATTGCATCATTACCTGTCAACCCACTCAGAATCATGGCATAGTCAAGTTGACATATGTTTTCGGGAGACACAATTCAAGCCATGACAATCGTTGGTAAATTTTAGAGTTTAATATTACCCAGAAGAAAGTGATTTATTGACAACAAAATCTAGTGTTGTGTAGCTACAGGAAGCTAAAACAAATGCTTTTGAGTCCATTTTGACCTGAGCAGAAAGATTAGAGATGCCCCAGGGCGTTTTCAAGGCTGTGGATCTCTATAAAAGTAGGTTGCACACATTTCTCTCAAGAGCAGCTGGTGGGTGTGACCCACTGACCTTTTAGGGCCTTATAGATACACAAAGTGGAGATTACTTTTGTGACAAGATGATAAAATAATTGTAACACTGCCTTGGCTCTCTCAGTTTAGAAAGGACTCACGGTTGTTGCAAATGTACTGCTCTTGCATGATGTTAGGATTGGATGTGTGCCAATTTCCAAGCTACAGCCTGGAAAGCAAGGTTCAGCTTTTCATTCGGAATCATGGTCCTGTCTAGAATAGAGAGTATGCCTCTTATCCTTCATTGGTTTAGCTATCCAAAATCAGCTAAATAAGAATATATAAAGTACTTGCAGCGGTGAAGTCCTGCAAAATTTTCAGTAGCTGGTAATACCTGGTAGACACTCTAAAAAATACCTTAATTTTGAGAATCCAGGCTCGGAACACGATCAAGAAGTAACTAGTTTTAAAGCCCCAAGGGAAATCATCACACTCCCACAAGTAAGGTATTAATCCCCAACCAAGGCTGTCACAGAGTTGATTCCACCTCACAGTGATGCTC